TTGGACAATATTTATATGTAATCTGTCCATGTTGTGAGACTTTTCAACAAATTCAAATCCATGTCGAAGAACAATGTTTAAATCTAGAACTAAAACCAAACTCCATCAGTTCTACCATAGCAATGTATATCAGACACACAGGCGGTGACCAGCTGTCACCAGCGTTCTGCCCATAAGCCCCTCAGAAGCTGGAATAATGAATGCCTCCAGCCTCCCACACACCCTAGCCTAGTAGCATGGTGCCCTGCAGCTCCTCAGCTGCTCCCTCAGGATTGCATGACTTTGGTGTTCACTGGAAGCTGCCTTTGCCGCCAGTGCCATCCAGAGATGCCACAGAAGATCTGACTGCCCAGTGGTAGCCTGGGAATGACCCACGGTCAACACTCTGAGGACCATTTCCACAGCATGAGGACCACTTGCACCACCATCAAGTCCTCAGACCCCAAGATGGACCCTCACGAGTAAAGCATGATCTATCCCCAAGGTAATGGTGCTGGTGACTGGTCTGTGTGGTCTTTGTTCAGATACCAAAAAAAAATGGAGATTTGAGAAAAAGAGAATGTAACAAATTTTGTAGAAGCCAAGTGGAAAAAAAAAACATATTCTAGAAAAACTCCAGTTTATATACACTATCTGTAAAGGCAACCAAAGATTAATAACTAAAATAAATGATTTATCACTCCCCAAATACCATCAGATTCACGAATGAGAGAAAGAGAATTATTTTCAAATAGTTCTTGTCAAAACAAGGTTTTCTCCTGGGGAATAATTCACTCCTCTCCTGATTCCTAAAATCGCCTCTAAATAGCTCATGGTGTTCACTGTCATCCAAGATGTGACAAACAGAAACCTATGTAACATTAATGGAGTCATCAGAAATACTGACGAATGGGGTGATCTCATTCATTACTGCTCTTCACTGTACTAACAGCTCTGAGCAATGATCGCTTGATTTCATCACTTTTAAACTGTGTCTCATTCTCACCATAGACACTTGTGTCACTCCTAAATGTGGTCATTCCATGTCCTTTTCAAGGTTGCGATGTGCCCTTAAGAGTGGTCATTCTTTGGGAGGGCCACCACGGTCCAGTACTGCCTCCTTGTCCAGCCTCATCCATCCCCTGCATCAGGCAATTCCAAACTTGAAGCTCAAAGCTGTTCTTGTCTAGGATCCATAGACTTTTAAAGAACTTAACATCCAGGGCCCAGCAGCGTGACCTAGTGGTTAAAGTCCTCGCCTTGAATGGGCCGGGATCCCATATGGGCACCAGTTCTAATCCCGGCAGCTCTACTTCCCATTCAGCTCCCTGCTTGTGGCCTGGGAAAGCAGTTGAGGACGGCCCAAAGCCTTGGGACCCTGCACCTGTGTGGGAGACCTGGAAGAAGTTCCTGGATCAGCATAGCACCAGCCACTGCGGTCACTTGGGGAGTGAATCATTGGACAAAAGATCTTCCTCTCTGTCTCTCCTCCTCTCTGTATATCTGACTTTCCAATAAAAATAAAATAAATCTTTAAAAAAAAAAAAGAGCTTAACATCCAGAGCAGGCACTTGACTTACTAATTAAGAGGTCCACACCCCATACTGGAGTACCTGGGTTCAATACCCAGCTGTGGCTCCTGACCCCATCTTCTCATTAATGCAGTTATGATGGCTCAACTGACCTGGTCCCTGCCAGTCCCATAGAAGGCCTGGACTCAGTTTCTGATACCTAGTTTGCCCCACTGCAATGATTTAGACAGTTGGTGAGGCAATAGAAGGAATCAATCTGTCCCTCCCTCCCTCTCTCTCTTTCCCACGCCCTCACCAACTTCTTAATAATAAATACTATTTTTAAGAAGTAAAAAGGTAGAGACAGAATTTAATCTTAGAAAAAGTTAACCAACTGTTCATATACATCTTCTTCCTAATGTCTTTGCCACATGATACGAGGAAGGAGAAGGTGGAACTCCAGCAAGCAATCTTTGAACTTGATCAAGATGAGCAGTTACCCCAGATGGAGGGGGGTCTAACCAGGTATGACTTCAAGGCAATTAGAAGCAAAGGTGTACAGCACAAACATTAATACCTGACTGTATTTCTACCAACTGCTAGGTCCAAATACAAAATAGCCTTTACTGGGAATTCAACTAAAATAGTCATCATTCTTTGCAGTCGGATTTTTCTTTTCCACCTATCAAGAGTATATGGTGCTGTTCGTTTCCTTTTATATCAGCAAAAGAAAAGCACAGGTGTCAGATAACCACAGGGTGGGTGGGTAAGAGATATCATCATGAAGAGACCGGCTAAGTTGGAGCCTTCCCCTTAAACCAACCTCACACTGTTAACAGCAAATGATAACGGCAGGAAGGATCAGTTGCACACAGTAGAAGCTTTGAATTCTTCCACTTTTAAATTCTAGGTCTTTCCTTAATTAACCTTACGACCTGCTGCCCCAACGGTGCGACGTTTCTGAGACATCAAAGCCCCCCAGACTTTCATGTTCACCGTTCCTGCTCTCATGTAGGCAGATGAAGTTGAAATCACGTTGAATCAGGATTCCGGTGTGAAATATCCCTACTCTCACCTGTAAGTAGGTATTTCTATCAGAAGAGAGAATCTACCATGACACAGTAAGTGAATTTTCCAGGAAACCAGAAAAGAGTTTTAGAAAATTTTAGAAAAAAAATAGAGAAAATTTTTAGGAAAAATTGACAAGTAAGAGAATAATACACTCATTGCCAAAATCTCAACCTTTGGTTTTCATCACTGAAATCCAGTCTCTTTATAAAGGGTGCCCATTTCTGTCTACCCAAGGTTGTTTACAGACAACAATAGAACTACCCATGAAAACGTAAACAACAACAAATTATGATTTCCTTTTCAGTTTCATCATTTTTCAGTCAAACAAGTTCATAGTTTAAACTCAACTCTGCGAGGATTCGCACCTGTATACCAACAGAGGGCCACGTGCTAACTTGAATCCTCTATGCACTCCAGAAACAACCCCTTGCTGTCTGGTTTCCTTTCTGCGTGATTTTAAACTGCTCTAGGAAAGCAGAAACCATCCATCTCTACCTTGACAATCCCCGGACACCACAGCGTACAGCTGCTCCTGGACAAAGGCACAAGCCAGGACAGTCACCCAGGCACCCCGGAATCACCACAACCCTGAGACACACCCGGCAGGGAGTAGCCTCATCCCTCATTGCTGCTAATGCGGGCTCAGCCACAAAACCTCACAGCCGCTGGATGGCCATGCCGAGCAGATTTATTTTTAATATACTCTCCAAGACTTTCTGCCAGTTTTGACCAATAGACCTGGATGTCGTCCTGCCTTCTTCAAATAAGCAAAAGCAAAGCCCTAAGCAAAGAGATTTCTGTAAGGAAAGCTATAAGGGCATCAGTTGCAGGATTGAAAACTCCCCTCTGTGTCCAACACAACAGGTATGAGAGGTCTTCAGAAATTCATTAATGTATATTAGGAAGATCCTGTCTTGCACCAAAATAAACCAATCTTTTGATTCCATTTTCCACAAACTTTTTCAAGTCTTGTTGAGCCAAAAGGCTTACCAGTGTCGACATACTTGAGATTCAGATTTCTTTCGAACAGTAATCACAGAGACACCGTAGCAGACATGAACACACTCTGATGTCACTGTTTAACTTCAGTATTTTCAGGGCTTTGTTTTTCTTTTTGGTTTTGGCGTTGGTTACATAATTTAAATAAGCAACACAAGAACAGTATTCATTTCCTTTTAAGACAAACTCAACCCACTGTGTGCATTTCATACTGAGCTACATCTCTTATTGGCAAAATACACTAATCCAAAGTCAGAAGCTAAAATGCAGGTTAAGATAAAGCATAGACTCCAAAGAAAAAGAGACCCCATTTGTAACACCAGTGGTCACATTCAGGGAGCCCACAGAGTTGATTTGTGTCTATGTGTGTATATATATATACTCCAAAATGGCCCACGGTGCTACACTGGACCTGAGGATGCATACTGTTGAATTCTTGCACTGGATTCAAGACAGTATTTACATTCTGCTGGCTTCTGCATGTTACCAACGCATCCTGGGGATAGGGTTCCCATCTTTTCCAATAAAAAGCCAAGCCCTTAGAGAGGCAGGAGTGAAATGGCCACTTAGATCTCCCATACCCCCTTGCCCAGTAGGCCGCCAGCAGTAAGGTCCCTCCAGACATACGGGAGGCAATCAGGGTCAGGCAGAGCAACGGAACCGTGCTGAAGAGTTCCCAGAACAAGGTAAGGCACTTGCTTAAGAGATGACCATATCATCCTCGTATAATTGTGTGCTACAGGGAAAACAGCCCTCCCAGCCAGCCTGTGTCTCCTGGTGCAGCCCCATTCTCCCCCTTGGCCTATTTCAGTGGAAGACCACACCATTGCTAAAAACATCCCAAATTGTCTCTCTGCTGCTGTAAACCAAGACGGATCCTCATGAATAAAAGTCAAAGTATGACAGCATGACAGCTTTTGGTTAATCCTGCTCAAAGTCAAGGATTCTTGCTTTGGAGGAAAGAAAATGCAACCCACCACCACCCCTACTCCCCCACCCACCCCCGGAAGTAGTGACACTTCTGCCGACCTAGCCCCACAAACTGCCCAGGTCTAAATAGCGTGTCCCAGATAACACCAACTAGGCCTGACCCCTCCCCCCACCCCCCAGCCAGGGATGGGCACCCATGCCCAAAGGGACACCTGCCACACATTTGGGAAACCAGGCTCAAAGACTGGAGCCAAGAAGCCACCAGGGCAGAGTGAGATGACCTAGTCTTTCAACCTCTTCCAGGTGAATGCGGAAAAGGCGCATTTATAAATTCCCTCCTCGCTGCTGCGAAGCCAGCAGCTTGCTAACTGGAGAGCTTGACTCCTGGCCCCGAAAGCAGAACGCGGGCAGTCACAGGCGCTCCCCACATCCCAGGTTTCAGGGAACCGGTCTGCCCCGAGGTGGTCCACGGCCCCTCTGTCGGCGCGGCCCACGCGAGGGCGCACCCACCTTGACAACATAGGTGACTCCCGATCCCAGCACCTGGTCGTTGGCGTGCGGCGCCCCCCGCGGGGGTCTGGGCAACGGCTCGTCGCCCGGCCGACCCTTCCTGGCGGCGCTCATACTCCCGGCCGGGGCGCGGGGCGCGGGGGCCGAGCCGCCGTCCGGGGCCGCCAGGCTGGGCGCGCTGCAGCTGCCCGAGAGCCGCGCGCCCGCCCGCTCCCGGGCAGCCGAAGACAGGCCTCGGAGGCCCGAGCTGGAGAGTTTCAGGTGGGACACCTTGTGGAGCAGGTGCCCCAGGCTGCCGGGCCCATCGTCGGGCGCCTTGCGCAGCGCCTCGCCGGACACCAGGTAGGGCGACGCCGCGGGGGTCGCGCGCGCCGCCGAGACCTTGCCGCTGCGGCCGCCGCTGCCGCCGCTCACCGACAGGCTGTGGAGAAGGTCATCGACAGATGTCACCGAGTCATTCCTGAAACGGTTGTACTTGGTGCGCGGAAGCATGCCCCTCCGTGGGCTCGCCACATCCGCCCGGGCGCTGCTGGTGCCGGCCCCGGCGCGGGCTGCCGGGCATAGCAGGAGAGCCGCGGGCCCGGCCGCGGGACAGAACCTGGGGGTCCCGGGACAGCCTCCTGGAGAGGGACAGCAGAGCCAGGGCGCGGTGCCCTCCCGCCGTTAGAAGCCAGCCCAGCGGCGGCCTCGCAGCCCGGGCCCCTGAGCCCGCTGCTTGCGGTTGCACGTTTGCTCTGCCAAAGTCATAGTTGCTCTCTGATGGAGCGCCCAGCTGCTCCGGGTTGCTCACAGGGAAAGCATGACTCACTCGGAGAGGAGACCCTTCTCAACAAAGGCTCGAGAGCGCTGCAAATCACTTCCTGTTAGGGAGAAAAAGAAGGGGGGGTGGAGAAAAAGAAGAGAAAAAGCGACATCCACGCGCTGTCAGCACACTGGAGCCAATCAATTCTCAAATTGCCTTTTTCTACCTTCCCAGATATTCCCTTCCAGCCGTGGGTTTTTCACCTCCCCACCCCCACCACCCCCGCCTCCACGATGCATTTGTGCCAAAGGTAAATCGAGGTCCTCCAGTGGCTCACACGAACTTTGTGAAACCCTATCTTCTAGGTCGGATGCTCCTCTTCCCTGCTCAGTTCGTCTGGGGAGCCTGCCGGCGAGGCGCTACAATGTGACGAAGGCTTTTTAAGAACCAGCCTTCAGCGAATCCGGATGGATTTGGATAGGAAAGACAGCAGGAAATTTTGGTATAGTTTAAAAAAAAAGAAATAAATAAATAAAAGGAAATATTCACCTTCCAGGTGAGCATAAAATACCAGGTTCCTGGAATTTTTTTTTTTCTTTCTTTCTTTTTTTTTTTTTTTCTTTCAAATCAACAGAGCGGCCATGACGGGTCTCTTTGTGGCAATGCAGTTTAAAAAAAAAAAAATCTGCCTAGGAGCTCATGCACAGTGCCAACCAAGGAGTCTCCCTGTCCATTTGCAGTGGTCTTTTCCAGCCAAGGGTAAGCTGAATGTCTATTTCAAAAAAGAAAGAAAGAAAGAAAGAAAAAGAAGAAGAATGCTTCTTTGATGAGTGGTAACAGGCTCCAGAAATTCATTCCCCCAAAGAAGGGGGAGCTGCCTGGGAAGCTTTATCCCGAATGAATGTGTTTAAGCTCTGGAAAAATGCCTGCGAAACGCCACCAACACATTGCGGTGTGCCCCTTCAGCTGCTGGTTGGAACCCTGCAGTCAGGAAGGGGGGAAAACCGCAGCCGTTCGCGCTGCACATCAAATCCATAGGTGAAAACAAGAAGAAATGCCTTCTTCTCAAGCGCCAAGCTCAGGCTACAGTGAAACGCACAAGGCCTTGTTCCTGCCAGTCCCGCAAGCCCTCGAGAACCTTCGACGGAGCCTCCGCAGCCCCCTGGCCCCTTCATCCAACAGGCGCTGCCAGTCTTCTTCACGCATTCGGAGAACCCGCTCCACCACGCAACACTGACTGTCAAAGTTGTCCAGCAACTTTGGGGCGAGCAAAGGCATTCATCCTCTAGCACGCCGCCAGGTCACCCACGCCCCTGAGTCTAGGCCAGCCGCGCCTCCCCAGGTCCCAGGCGCCTCGCAGGGCTTTGCGCACCCCGGCTCAAGCAGCGCGGCTCATGGCGGGCGCGCGGGTGCGGCCGGCACCGAGGACGCAGGGGCGCACCGGAGCAGCGGCAGCCCGGGCGCAGGAAGCGCGTCCCCCCAGCTCCCCGCCGATGCCGTAGCCCTGGCAGAGCAGCCAGCCGGCATTCATTTTTTCGCTTTCCCCGGCTAGCATAGCAACAGCAAATGCGCACCCCATGGACGATTTTGAGGTTTCTCAGAACACCCCCCTATCCTGAAGCAAAACAGCCCTGTCATTCCCAAACCGTGATCTTCATTAGAAGCAGACAAAAACAGCTAAATGTGAATGAAATGCTGTTTGTGTGAATGAAAGGGCTAGCGAGCGAGCCAGCAATTCTGTGAATGAAGCGGGGCCTTGCAGCCGGTGCCAGGCAATCCCCCTGGGCTGCAGCGGCCTCAGCCAATGGGCGGCCGCCCCGGTGACTCATTCAACAAAGGCTCGCTCAATAGTGGAAGATTCCATTTCAATCAAAGGCGGGATCTGTTACCCAACTGCAGTGTGGGAAAAAGAAAAAAATAATCAAATAAAATAAAACTAGCCAGCCTAATCAAAAAGATGCGAAGCCGGAGGAAGCGGACAGCTGCTGCGGAGCAGGGAAGAGAGGCGAAGTCATTTGCTAGGGAAAATCCAGACTCCTCGGTCAGGGCTGAACGTGAACCGACCGCCCCCACACTTGCACTCACCCGTTCATTTACATTAAGGAACAGCCATGAATGTGCCATTCGGTTCAGTTTTTATTATGAATGTACATGGAAGGCACATTCAGAAAACCCAGGCTCCTGGCCCGATTGGTTTCCGTGGAAGGAATACCGAGCTCCTCGGACTGGTCTCGGTTTCCAAGGGAAGAAAAAAGAAAAAGAAAAAAAAAAAAAAAAAAAACCCAAAGCGACATCTTTAACCCTTTCATCAATGGCAGGCTGTTGGTTTTTCTTCTCACAAGGTCGGTCAGTGGAGGGAAACTGATCATTATAAATTAGCGGTAACAATACAGACCAAGTGACACATCATCCAGCTGGTGGATAAGGTCGTATTTGGAAAGATGATGTTGAGGTTTTGGAACGTGGGAGAGAAGCAAAAAAAAAAAAAAGGAGCAGTGGCCAGAGGCGTCCCCACGTCGCGATGGAGTTGCCACAGCCACTCACAAAAGCTTGCACACTTAGCTCACCACGCTTGTTGTCTCACCTGGAGCTGAACCACTGTGCTAGACCCGCTTGCAGAAAGCACGGTGTCTTATCGGTCAGACAATGTGGAGATGGAGGAGAAAGGTGGCTGCCAGGTTAGGTCTCCAGAAATGTGAATGAAGCCTTACAGTCTGTGCCGTGATTTGCTCATGACTTCCTCCTTCTGGAAACTCAAGCTGAAATCTAATGCTCATTGTGAGGCCCTGAAAGAGTGGAAACTCTACCCCAACTGCAGTGTGACCCTTGGGAGGAGATCAGAGCTACCCAAGGCCATCAGGGGTGGGAGACCCCGTGATTGGATGCTGAAAGCTTTGTCAGCACACCATCCTGCCTCATCACTGAAATCTGCCAAACAAGAAGACCGAGACCTGTCTCAAGTAGTGACCTTGAGCATGGATCTGAAATATGAGCCAAAGCATATCTCTTCTAAATTACCCAGTATGTGGTACAATAATATTAGTAAGAGAAAATAGAGTAAGACGGTCAACAACACAGACGAAGACACCTGGAGATTTGAATGCAGGCAGAGTTGATAGTGAGGCTGCTTACAACCCGGAAGCCTGGCCTGAGCAGTGTGCAGAGAGTAACCTGCATTTCTGATTTGGACAACTGGGGGGAGCTGAACCTGAGCCCTGAGTAGGAGGGCAGATGGGAGGGAAAGAGAGGGCTGGAGGTTGAATGGCTCTGACTGGCAGAGGGTTCCAAGGAGAGCTGTCCAGTGCTGACCAGCTGCAGTGCAAATGTGAAAATGCCAAACTTAGGCCAGACCCGGTAGCCTAGTGGCTAAAGCCCTCGCCCTGCACATGCCGGCATCCCATATGGACGCCAGTTCATGCCCCGCTTCCCATCCAGCTCCATGATGGTGGCCTGGGGAAATAGTAGAGGACAGCCAAAGGGCCTTGGGACCTTGCACCCACATGGGAGACCTAGAAGAGGCTCCTGGCTCCTGGCTTTGTGGCTACTTGGGGAGTGAATCAGCAGATGAAAGATCTTCCTCTCTGTCTCTTCTCCTCTCTGTATGTCTGACTTTCCAATAAAAATAAATAATAAATCTTAAACAATAAAAAGATAAATAAAAGAAGACCCATTTTCAAAAAAAAAAAAAGAGAGAGAGAGAGAGAGAGGAAGAAAAGGAAAGAAAAAGCCCAACTTTCCAGTTAGTGGTTAAGCAAAAATGGTCACAACTTGGAGCAGAAATACAGAAACCTGGATGATGAATGCCAGGGAAGAAAGCATGTCGAAAGAAAATCCGGGGTCGTCAACAAGTGTGGTGGTGACCACTGTGCCAACCTTGACTGAGTATTCCCATGCATTAAGCGGTGGTCATGGTTACAGGTAGACCCATTTGATACAAAAAGAAACCAAGCGTCACAGGAGTTATTATAAAATGAGCCAGGACCACACTGTGTTAGGAACAAATAGGAAGAGGGGGACGTAGAGTGGTTTGACTCCAAGGCCCTGTTCGTAACCACAGAATCACAGTGATGTGGGGTCCCATGCTTGGATGCCTGGTTTAAAGAGCTGGTTCTCCCATCGATTCTACCTTCCTGCGGACATGCACTCTGGGAGACAGTGGATAGTCTCTGCTATCCTTGCAGCATATGCAGATGGAGCTCCTGGCTGCGCGCTTCTGCCTAGCCCAACCCTGGCTGTTACTGCCACATGGGGAATGAAGCAAAGGATGGAAAAGTCATTTCCTCTCTTTCTCTTCCTTTCTTCCTTCCCTCTCTTCCTCCCTCCTCCCCTTATGTTTGTCTTTTTACCTTTCAAAAAAACACGATCATTGTGATTTAGAGAGATTGCAAAAGGTACCTGTTGAGAACCACCCTGTGCAAGTAGTGATCATATCCATCTTCAGAATTTTAGCAAAGAGATTCGTATCAACTGAATGAGGGTGAGGAGGTGAGTGAAAAGTTCACACTTCACCAAAGTCTGAAAGGTAAAATATAAGGCAATAGCTCAAAAAACACAAGAGATGGGAGTCAGCTTGTGGTGCCGTGTGTTAAGCCACTGCCTGGGAAGCTGGCATCCCAAATGAGTGGCAGTTTGAGTTTCAGATGTTCCCCTTCTGACCCAGATCCCTGCTGGCGCACTTGGGAAGCTAGCAGAAGATGGATGAAATGTTTGGACCTCTGTCATCCACATGGAATACCTGGATGGAGTTCAAGGCTCCTGGTTCAAGCCTAGCCCAGCCTCTGTCTGGCAGATAGATAATTGGTCTTTGCCCCTGCCTTTGTCTCTCTGGGTAACTCTACCCTTCAAGTAAAAACATAAAGCCTTATTTTTTTTTTTTTTTTTGAAAAAAAGAGAATACAAAGCAGGTGATGGAAGGGTTGTGAATTATGTCAAGTAAGCGGGTGGAACAGCGTGGAAGAAGGGAAGATTTGGGAAATGGGAGGGACAAGAGCAAAAGTGAAGGCAGGGACCTCATGCGGATGGTAGAAGCCTCACCTCCTGCAGCTGGGTGGGGACTGG